CTCACGTGTTCAGGAAATGGAGTCCCGCATCGGGCTCTGCACTGATAGTGTAAAGCTTGCTTGGGATTCTCTGTCTCCCTCTCTCTCTGCCCCTTCCCTGCTCATGCTCTCTCTTCCTCTCTCAAAAGTAAAATAAATATATTTTAAAAATAAGAACTAATAATCGGATGAGGAAGATTGACTTGAGTAGATCATATGAGTATGTCCTACAACAGAACTCATCAGGTGACTCCCAGCATTTCAGCATTTCAACAGGGTAAAAAGAACATGGTGAGAAATCATTTCATCATCAGACTTTTTTTTTTTTTTTTTGCTGCCACTGATACTATTATGATTACATTTCTTGCCTCTGTGGACACTGCCCCACAGGTGCTGGCTAAGATTTTTTTCTTTGTTTTTCTTTGTTTTCTTTCATTTGCCAAAGTTAAATTCACTATAGATTCACTAGTGGTTTGAATAATCACCAAGGACATTTTCAGTTTTTCACTTAATTGTTCCCCATGCACTTGAGCAGATAAAACCAATAAAGCACGTGACATTTCTATTAATGAAAATTTATAGAGCAACCCATGTCTTTGCAGAGAGTCAGGCCATCTTCATTTCCACAGCCAGGGAGAGTTGCTAGCATTTACTTGCTATTATTTGTCCATTCTTTCAGTCACAGAATTCAGGAAAATATTATTTGATAGCTTAAGCAGATCCATTTTATACTTGATAATGATAAGAGCAAAGAGTGCTATTCCCTATGCCCCTGCATATTACCTTGCATTTGCAGGCATTCCTACCTGAAAGAGCATGTGCAGCTCAAAGTATGCCAAGGTTAAGTCAAAATTATAGCCACTATTACCCAGTGTTTCTCAGACCCAAGGAAGGTTGGGTTAAATTTCCCAAAATATGACGGGAAACCACCAGAAAGTAAGTATGAAATGTTTGTCATTTTTGTGCCTAAATGTTCAGGAACTGGAATCATAGAAGGTATATAAAAGCAGTCCCTAGGTAAAGGCAGTGAATTTAGATATTACTGCTAAAAAAATCTGAGTACAAGAAGTACTTTCATGTTCAGAGAGGATCTGAAAAGTAATCTCTGGGATGCCATTTTGTTCTATATAACATAATAAAAAATATGAACATGATTCTTGAGCAGTGCTCTTGGGAAAGATCACAGTTAAGGATAAGACCAGGTACACACACAACTGGGGAGTGGCGTCACTGCTGTGCTATAATGAGAAAGACCAAAAAAAGGATACCAAAAATTCTCTCTCCCTTTTTCATAGATTCTAGAACACAAGGCTAGAAATAACTTCAAAGGGGCAACCATTCACCTAAAACATCTTGCTGAATGGTTAACTTATCCTTGAACATTTCCAGCCCATCTCTTGGGCTGCCTTAGTCCTAAAAGAACTCACAATAATTAATGTCATGTTAATTAGGTTAAACATCATTTTAAGATTTGGAGCCTCTGATGTTCATTGTTGTTATTTTTTTACTGGTGAGTTCAGTCAAATAACATATAAAAATATAAAATAATACGTTTATTATTAATTTAAAGCATTATAAGATCAGGGAAATGTAATGATGATTTATAATGAAATAAGCACTTAGAAAAAAGTGATGTACCTCCCCTATAAGAAAAATACCCATGAAACAATTATCAACTAGGATTATCTTGTTAGGAAAAAATATTAAAAACAATACTCAAAATAATAATGCCCAAATCCCCAAGGCTTTGGAACATAGAAATTCATTTACAAATGGTGGGAGTATACACAGGGACACATTTTCCAAAGGACTAGTTTGGGAATAACTATGGGAAGCATTTTATTCAAAATTTTTTACCAGTTCTTAAATGTTAAATTAATCTGATGAGGATAAAAAGATTTACATACAGAATGGCCACTAAAACATTATACAACAAGTGGAAGCAACATTAATATTCAATATTAGAACTATTAATTTTATAATTTACTTCCTTATATGATAGGATATGATAAGCAAGTAAAATTGTATTGTGAAGAATATTTAATGACATGAGGAAAATACATCATAACTGCTTTGAAAATAATTGAATGGATAGAGTGAGGTTGAGAGAGTAAAGCACCTAAGTTATTTTCAATATAGCATTATTTTTATAAAATACAAGTAACTGCAAAACATAATTATATGTACAAACAGGTTGTAGATAAATATAAGATATTAAAAATGATGGACTATGTTTAATGTTATTGTAGGATTTTCCTTTCTTACACTTTTCAATTGGTTGTAGATGAATATCTACTTGTTTTATTATGGAGGATTCAAACAAGTAATGTTATCTTTAAAGAGAAAAATAATAAATAGCAACACTCCATAATTTAAAATTATCCTTGACAGCAGGAAGTGAAACAGTCACGGCCTAAAACCTCAGTATTTAATATAACTTTGTGCTAATCTTTTCCTCTTAAGGCAATCATCCAATGATGTGAAGTTATTTACAAATCTCATTTCAGCCATTTTCATCGAATTGAGGACACATTGTATGATATGTAAGAGTGTATAATCCAGTGACATTAATTGGGGGTCAGTGTATTAGCCAACATGAAGGCACTGGGGGATGCAGGTAGAAGGAAATGGAGAAGAGCATTAGAGGCACTAAGTCAAAAGACGTGTGGTTCTTAGGAAACCTTCATGTCTTGCTGTAGGAAAGCAATTTCTGCTTGAGCATGCATTAGTTATTTCCTGCCACTCAGGCAAACTCTTTATCCCATAAGCCTGTCACACTGCAGCAACTCTCCTCAATGGGGAAAAAATGATGCCTTCCCTAAGCACAGTGGGGAAAAAAAAACACTTAAGGTATTTTGTAGGGAATAACTTAAAGCAATCTTACAAAAAAAAAATCATATTACAAAATAATTGGTGCCTCATACAGAGATTTCGTTCTAGTCATTTATTTTTTAATATTTATTTATTTTTGAGAGAGAGAGAGCATGAGCAAGGGAGGAGCAGAGAGGGAAGGGGGCAGAGGATCTGAAGCAGGCTCCCTGCTGACAGCAGAGAGCTTGATGTGGATCTTGAACTCAGGAACTATGAGATCATGACCTGAGCTGAAGTCGGACACTTAACCAACTGAGCCACCTCGGTGCCCCTCATTCTAATCATCTATTGAAGAAACGTAGATGCCCCAGGTATACTGTTTGTGGCTAGGAAACATTTGAAAAGCTAACATTTTAATTAATTTGTGATTATTAGAATTGAGTAAGGATAAGCAATTTCCCCAAATCCTAAAATTACAGATTCCCTAGAAACACTTACACTTTAATTCAGTTTGACCTGGGTCAAATTCCAGCTCTGATACTTCCTAGAAGAACAATATTGCCGCAATTGCTGGTAAGGGTACATGAATAGGTAGGAAATGTGAGAGATTAAAAGTACTCAATAGCTTCCTGGAAGATGGTGACAATGGTTTCTTTTGACAGTATCCCCAAAAGAAGCAACACAGGGAGACAGTCTTGTAGGGAAACTCATAAGAATGGATTGTGATTTTTCAGCTTTTCAGAATATCCATACCTAATAACCAGGTTTATTTATTCTCCATGTCATATTTAATCCATGTTAAGTATTAATGCTTGATAATAATTGTTCTTTGGGGAAATAAGCACAGGCTAAGTCTATCCTTGGGCCAGAGTTCTGAGGAGCATTGATAGGGGCAGCAATGATTAGTGACATTCCCAAAGGCAAAGTGAGCCTTCAGAGAATGGAGCCATGACAAAGAAGGCAACTCCTTGCCCAAATGGTATTCCCCTATGTTTGCCCATCTAGGAGGATCTAGATGTTATGTTACTAATAAAGATGGCAAGTCGCCTTAGAAGGCATTTGGAAGCTGAAATATCTATGCATAAACTACAGAACTCCTATATGGATCATGGAAACCTAAGGACAAAATTCTGTTCTCTATTAAGGATATCAGAACATCCTACTTGTCAGTGTTCTGGGAAGGCTTGGAAAGGGTAGGATTCTAGACAACAGATAGATGTTGAAACAGGAATTCAGAAAAGGAAATAAAACAGAGGCTGATCAAACCGATATAAGGGAGAAACAAAGACTCAAATAATTCAGCCTATTATAAAAGGGGAGCAAAGAAGAAATCCTGTAGCAGTGTGGGACTCGAGAAATTTCATGGTAATTCCCCAGTTCACTCACACAGTAAAGACTTCTCTAAGATGTTCGGGAGATTAAGGAATTTATTTAAAGAGGACAAGTGTTGCAAAGCATGGAAAATAATACAACCAAGTATTGATAATACCAACCAATATTGATGGCATTATATTATGATAGGGTATGAAAATGATTTGCTGATATGCTGTCCTAACAAATGGGGAAATAAAAATTTTATGCATATTTTTCCTATTTACTAACATTCATGGATCTCCTGCTCTATACTGAGGACTGGGGATACCATGATGGCTGCCCTAATCCCAGAGGACTGTGAAATCCTTGTGGTATTTTCTATCTACTTTAAAATTGGTCCTGGGGGTGCCTGGGTGGCTCAGTCAGTTACGCATCTGACTTAGCTCGGTTGTGATCTCACCATTTGCGACTTCCAGACCTGCATAGGGCTCTGTGCTGACAGCTCAGAGCCTGGAGCCTGCTTCAGATTCTATGTCTCCCTCTCTCTCTGCCCCTCTCCTGCTCACACTCTGTCTCTCTGTTTCTCTCAAAAATAAGTAAACCTTTAAAAAGTTGTAACCTGTAACTGGAGTGGAAATGAAACTCCAGAGGGATCTTTTCTATAAACCACATTCTGAAGACCAAGGTAAAGCAGAGTCCAGGGAAATGAGGCATGATGCAATCACTTCTACACAGATTATTGACAATCAAATAAAGTATTAAAATGTGCTTCTATTGACTTGCTGGGCTACTTTTCCTCATTATATAGCTATTCAAATATTGTTTTTATGTTCTATTCCTCAGATTCAAGGTTTGTGATTTATTAATACAGACTCACTATATATTTGAAGACAGTGATGAAAAATCATTCTGCAATAACATTCATTCTACTAGGATTGACTGATAACCCAGTACTACAGGTTTTTCTTTCAGTATTTCTGTTTTTCACCTACATTTTCACTGTTGCTGGAAATCTAATCATTATCCTCCTCACTCTGGTTGACTCTCACCTCAAAACACCCATGTACTTTTTCCTTCGGAATTTTTCCATCTTAGAAATAATACTTACAACTGTCTGTGTCCCTCGATTCCTGTACAGCCTGACAACTGGGGACAAAAGTGTTACCTATAATGCTTGTATCATCCAGTTGTTTTTTGTCATCCTCATTGGAGCAACAGAATTTTTTCTTCTAACTGCCATGTGCTATGACCGCTACGTGGCCATCTGCAAGCCCCTGCACTACAGTACCATCATGAATGAAAGAGTATGCACCATTCTTGTCCTTTGCTGTTGGCTGATTGGGTTAGTTGTCATACTCCCACCGCTTAGCCTGGGAGTGCAGCTAGATTTCTGTAACTCCAATCTCGTTGACCATTTTGGCTGTGATGCATCTCCTCTTCTGCAGATTGTATGCTCAGACACCCAACTTGTAGAGCAACTTGTTTTAATCATGGCTGTGCTGACCCTCCTAGTCACACTGGTCTGTGTAATTATGTCCTACACATACATCATCAAGACTATTTTAAGACTCCCTTCAGCTCAGCAAAGAAAAAAGGCTTTCTCCACGTGTTCTTCCCACATGATTGTAGTTTCCATCACCTATGGAAGTTGCATCTTCATCTATATCAAACCACCAAAGGAAGGAGTAGCCATTAATAAGGTAGTGTCATTACTCAACACCTCAGTTATCCCAGTGATGAACCCTTTCATTTATACACTACGGAATAAGCAGGTCAAAGAAGCCTTCAAAGACTCAATTAAAAAGATGGCATTTCTTTCAAAGGATTAGAAAACTAAAAAGATTTTTTAATTAAAAAAATATACATCTAACGTCACTTCTCACTTTATCCTGATTCCAAAACTCTATGATCTATTTCCATAGATATTCCACAGGTTTTTGTTCATATAAATTTGCCATCTTCAAATTATTTTGGTGTATATATTACCTTTTTCTAGGTCATTCTGTGTTTCCAATACTCTGGAGTCTGTTTGAACTTGAGTCTATTGTTGGACACCAAGTAATGAGATAAAGTGGAGTGAGTCTTGAACAAGGTCAGCACTTTCTTGCAAGGAAATGACCTCAAGAGAGGTCATTACATGTTTTTCAGACAAGAAGAGACCAAACCCTCTCTTGGATACAGGATAATAAGTGTCTGCTTCTCTGGGGCTTCAGTAAAATCTACTAATGTGTGCCCTCTAGAAACCCCTGGAGGTTGTGAATTCAATTTACATCAAAATTAATTCATCCACAAGATTAGACTTGGTTAGGTTTCTAAAAGTTTCAATCCTGTAGTTACAGGAGATTTTACAGGTTTCTTTAGGGAAGTCATACTTTCCTCACTCCTTTTTCATACCTTGAGATAGAAATTTTAAATCCTGAGATAATCACTTCTCTTTCTGCAAGTTCTCCAGATACTTCAAAATAATCAACCAAAGTTACAGTTCTTATATTCCTCATTTTCCACTAAAATATTCCATGACAGTAGCTACTTGGTAAAAGCAAGCCATAATGGCAGCAAACATTCAAGTGGTGACAAAACTCATCTACTTATAGGAAGGCTGCAAAGGATTATGTATATTTCTACAAATCAATATTTAATGTGTACTTGACTCATGTCTAAGCTAGATTGCAAGATCTTGCATGCTATCTCATCTCCTACCTTCTCTGCTATTCCTACCACCAACATTCACCCCAAATGTTAATAAACTTCTACTAGGTAACAAAGAGTGCTACTCATTTTGGTTGTTTTATTTTAAGTTTTTATTAAATCCCAGTTAGTTAACATACTGAGAAATGTTAGTTTCCGGTGTAGAATTTAGTGATTCACCACTTATGATACAACTCCCAGTGCTCATCACAAGTGACCTCCTTAATACTCAGCACCTATTTAACCCATCTCCCCACTCACCGCCCCCTCCAGTAATCTTGTTTATCCTGTAGTTTAAAGTCTGTTTCCTGGTTTGTCTCCCTTTGCTTCCCCTATGCTTATCTATTTTGTTTCTTAAATTCCACATATGAGTGAAATCACATGGTGTTTGTTGTTCTCTGACTGACTTATTCCACTTAGCATAATAGTCTCTAACTCCATCCATGTCATTGCAAATGGCAAGATTTCATATATATAAACCACACCTTCTTTATCTATTCGTCCGTCAATGAACATTTGGGCTCTTTCCATAATTTGGCTATTGTTGATAATGCTGCTATAAACATCAGGGTACACATGCCTCTTTGATTGACTATTTTTGTATCCTTTGGGTAAATACCTAGTAGTGCTGGACTGTAGGGAAGTTTTACTTTTTAATGTTTTCAGGAAACATTAGAGGCTGCAAAAGTTTGCATTCCCACCAACAGTGCAAGAGAATTCTCCTTTCTCCACATCCTCACCAACACTTGTTGTTTCCTGTGTCGTTAATTTTAGCCATTCTGACTGGTGTGAGGGGATATCTCATTGTAGCTGGATTTGAATTTCCCTGATGATGAGTAATGTTGATCATCTTTTCATGTGTCTGCTACTTATTTTGTAAGGCAAGGGACCAAACATATAATGCAGCCAAACAGAAAGACCTTTAAGAGAACATAAAATCTAATCATAACTAAAGAAGTATTTAACAGGAATATTTAGAATAAGCAAAGCAGCAACTTATGATTATCCATCACTCTAGATTTTCAAAAATCTAGAACTTCAGGAAATGGTTTATATTGAAGAAAAGAACACAAAAAGATAATAGGCTCAAGAGAAAATGGAATAACTAGAAGCATATATGCCCTCTCAGTTTAAACCACTAAAAACTGAAGCATCCATTTTCCAGAAAACTGACATCAGGCAGTGAAGGGAAGTGATACCTGAGAAGAGATTACTTCAGCTTACTTCCTGGACAGTGGTGCAAAGTTCACCAGTCAGCCAGAGTTAAGGAGACATAAGAGGTACTCCAGGGAGTACCGAGAGATACTACCCTAAAGTTCACAAGAAAGAGTACCAAGAGGTGGAAGAGGCATACCTGGTGATCTATAGGTGGCCCATCAGAGTATTCAGCTGAGTACTGATCACCATATACGTGTAAGAAAATTACCTGACTGAGGTAATAATCATCCAAAAGGATTGCAAAGAATCTTCTGAGCTCACATAAGAATGAAAATGGTTTCTATTCACAGCAAAAAGAATTAAAAATCTCTTAATTTACTGGGTATTATTCAGAAAGATTTGCCTCAGTTTGAAGAGAGTAAATCAGCAGGCTAAACATTTCTCTGGTCCAGTCCATTGATCTGGTCCAATAAGCTAAACATGAACCTACCAAAAGGAATAAAGAACACGAGGAAAGATAACAGCTTGGGCAAACTGATTAACACAGAACTTGAAAGGATAAAACTGTTTCCAAGTGATTCAAGAGATACCAGAACAAAGCTAAAAAATGTTTACAGAGATACATCCAGACTTCATGAAGGTGAAATTCATAATGCCTGACATAATTATAATTTACCAGGCATGCAAAGAGGCAGGAAAATGCAACCTATACTTAGAACAATCAATACAAATAAATCCAAAAGTGGCACCAATGATACAACTAAAACAAAATACAGTTAAAACAGTAATCATAACGATACTTCAATACTGCAAAAAATAGAAGATGTTAAGTAAACATGTTGAGAAAAAACATAAAGATTGTTAAAAAGATCCAAATCAAACTTATACAGATGAAAATATACTTTATAAGAAATATATAGATTAGATATTGCAGAAAAAAATCAGTTAAAGAAACAGCAGTTAAAACTCTCTAAGCATACAAAGAAAACAAAAACAAAAACAATATTAACAGAGCATCAGGGAACTGTAACAGGAATTCAAGACGCCTGATATATTGTATAAATTGAAGGCTCCTCAGTAAAGGAGATAAGAGGGACCCAAAAAAGTGTTTAAAGAAATGACTGAAAACATTTCAAAATACTGTAAACTTCAAAAAGTGGAAAATATAAATCCACTAATCAGATGTGCTCAGCAAAGCCTAACCACAGCAAACATGGAGACACAACAATTTTTTTAATTACATAAAAGCAAAGAATGAAATCTTATTACCTAAATAGAAGAATGACAACATACTTCTTAATGGAAACAATCAATGTAAGACAGACAGAAAACTGCAGAACATCTTTAAAGTGGGAACAGAGTGACAACCTAGAATTCTATCCATCAAAAATATTTTTCAAAATTTAAGGTGAAAGAGACTTTTCAGACATAGAAAACTTAAAATAATTCATCACCAGCAGACCTTCTTTACAAGAAATGTTAAAGGAAATCTCGCAGAAATTGCTGCCAGACAAAAACATGAACCTACCAAAAGGAATAAAGAGCACCAGGAAAGAGACCAACTTGAGTAAATACATGAGCTCTTTTCTTATTATTTAAATAAGTCAAAATTATAATTGAGAATTTAAAGCCAAAATAAAATATTTTATGGAGTAATTTATAATTTTTATTTTATTTTTTTAATGTTTTATTTATTTCTAGGAGAGAAAGAGAGAGACAGCGTGAGCAGGGGAAGGTCAGAGAGAGAGGGAGTCACAGACTGAAACAGGCTCCAGGCTCTGAGCTGGCAGTCAGCACAGAACCCGACGCGGGGCCCGAACCCACGAACCGCAAGATCATGACCTAAGCGAAAGTCGGACGCTTAACCGACTAAGCCACCCAGGAGCCCCGTGGAGTAATTTATAATTTTTAAAATTTGTTTAATGTTTATTTATTTTTTCTAGACACAACACAAAGGAGAGAGGAGTAGAGAGAGAGGGAGACATAGAAACTGAAACAGGCTCAAGCTCTGAGCTGTCAGCATAGATGCGGGGGCTTAAACTGATAAATCATGAGATCATGACCTGAGCTGAAGTCGGTAGCCGAACTGACTAAGCCACTCAGGTGCTGCTATCATTTTGTTTTTTTGTTTTTTAACATTCATTTTTTTACTGTCATAAAATGCACTCAATGTAAAATTTACCATTTTTATTATTTTTAAGTATACTGTTCACTGGCATTAGGAACATCCACATTATTGTGGAATCATCACCACCACCTATCTCCAGAACATTTTTTAAAAATTTGTATTTGAATATAGTTTGACACACAATGGTACATTAATTTCAGGTGTACAACATAGTGATTTGACAAGTTGACACATTATTCTGGGCTCACCACAAGTATAGCTACCATCTGTCAACATACAACACTATTACAATATCATTGACTATATTCCTTATGGTGTGTCTTTCATTCTCTTGACTTACTCATTCCATAACTTGAAGCCTCTATGTCCCACTCTTCTTCACCCATTTTTCCCATCCCCCCTCTTCCTCCCATCTGCTAACCATCAGTTTGTTTTCTGTATTTATAGGTATGATTCTACATTTTGTTTGTTTACCCATTTGGGTTTTTTAGATTCCACATATGAGTAAAATCATATGGTATTTTTCTTTCTCAGTCTGACTTATTCCACTTAGCATAGTACCCTCTAGGTCCGTCCATGTTTTTTCAAATAGCATGGTCTCATCCTTTTTTATAACTGCATAATATTTTATTGTTTATATATACCACCATTTCCTTATCCATTCACCTGTTGATAGAGACTTACGATGTTTCCATATCTTGGCTATTGTAAACAATGCTGCAACAAACACAGGAGTGCATATATTTTTTTAAATTAGTGTTTCATTTTGGTTGAGTAAAAAGCCAGTAGTGGAATTATTCGGTCATATGGTGTTTGTAGCCTTAATTTTTATAAGAACCTCCATACTGTTTTTCC